CTCTAAGCCCGTGACCTTGTGTAAAAATATGAGCCCAATCCGATAAAAATTGACCGAATTATGATTTTCGAAGTTTCGACCCAGATAAAATAATATTCAGCATTCAGGATTTTCGGCGGGTCAGACGCACTCTGAGCAAAAAACAAAGGCCTTTTGAATACTGTTCAAACTTGATACCTCCTGTGAAAATGTATCCAACTCAATTTTTGAAATTTTGGTTCTGGAACCAGCTCGATACGATGAAAATCGACCAAGTTATGATTTTCTGAATATGACGCAAATAAATTTCTGTCACAAATTTTCTGTACGAAAATACTTGATAAATCCGCATTTTTGAAGACCTTCTGATCGAAATTGTCTTCCAGCCGTGAGAGATGAAAACATATATGACGTCAATACGGAATTTTTGCCACCGGAACGGGTTCAAAACGAGCCACGATCTTCAAGTTATGAATTTTTTAGCGCGTAAAAACTGCACTTTCAGCACACTTTTTCACCATATTTCTTCGAGAAAACTCACACATTTGGATAACTTCTTAAAGAATTGACTCTTGAGACAAACCTGAATTTGAGAATACGTTATCAGAGATATCTTGGCGAAATAACACCTGAATATGACGCGTCGGGTTGGACTTGTGAATCTTTGAACCCCGAATCGTTGCAAAACGGAGAACCGATCTTCAGCATGGAAAATGCTCTGAGAATATCCATTGATGAAATAAACGTCACTTGTAACTTGAAGAAGCTTGATAAATATACCTTTATTCTATAACCATAAAACCAATAATATGTGTGTATGAAAAGAGGGCAAATTTTGGGGTACAACACAAAGCTCTCTTGCTCCAAGGTTTCGAAGATTCTAAAGATAAGATTCTGCTGAACAACTTTTGTAGACTCTGAAGACCAATGACTCTGAAGATTCTAAAGACAAGGTTTTGTTGAATAAGTTTTGAAGATTCTGAAGAAAAGGCTCTGAAGACCTTTTATGTTGAAGACTCTGAAGACAAGGTTATGTTGAATGAAGTTCTGAAGACTCTAAAGACAAAGGTTCTAAAGACTGATTTTGATCCTTCTAAGCATGTCTCAACTCATACATATTATGAAGCCTCTAGAAATTAGAAGAGAATATCAAAGGAATCACGTGAAGAGATAGTATAATGTCATATCCTTCCACTATCCTAGTTTTTGTGGCACAATGACTGTACTTTTAGTACTATATTGTCTACCACTCTCACTGACTGTTGCAAAAAAATTAACTGGAATTTTGGTATTATTATTCTACCCTCCAACGGATTTCTTTTCAGCTATGAAAGGAAGACTTGGAAGAATTGGAATCGTTGAACAACTTTGAAGAAACTCGCGCTGATTCAAATTGATATAACGCCAAAATAATTCTATAATTTTTGTAAAGCAATGAACTGTTGTTCACTAACTTGCTTAACACTATTATGTTATTATTTTTTCTTCGATCTTGTGTAATCTTCTTTTGAGAAGAAATCTTGTAAACACAAAAACTTGTATTCTATAGTGAGTTGATTGTTCCTTGAGTGACTAAGTCTTAGTTTGTATACTCAAGAATTCATTGACAATTTTTCTTTGAGTTTTTGTTCCTCAAATGACTAAGTGTTAATTTGTCTACTCAAGAAGTCATTGACATTTTGTCTTTGAGGTTGTGTTCCTAGAGAGACTAGCAATTTAGTTAGGATTCTCAAGAAGACATTCATAGTTTGTCTTTGTGGATTATGATTAGTTTGGTTATAGTGGATTAAATCCTTGGTTTAGAAAGGCAAATCACCTTGGTGGACGAACTGGATTAACTTCGTTAACAGAGAACCAAGATAAAAATGATTGTTTTCATTTATTTTTATTCTTGTGTTATTAGTTTTGAAATAGATTTTATTTCTAGAAACCCAATTCAAACCCCTATTTCTTGTGTTTATTGCACCTTAAATTGGCATCAGAGCTTTGTTTCTAGTATTGATTGTTATCAAACACTTAACCATGTTAGATAAAGATCCAGACGTTTTAGAAACACTATGGCTATTCCACCACCTGTTGTTGGTGGTGTTGGTGTGCCTGTTCTCAATGAGAGAGAAAACTACAATGCTAAACCTCCCATCTTTGATGGTAAAAGATTTGATTATTAGAAGGATAGACTAGAAAGTTTCTTTTTAGGTCGTGATGTTGATCTTTGGGATATGGTAGTCGATGGCTACGAACATCCTACAGATGAAAGAGGAAGCAAGATCGAGATAAGATATATGAATGACCAATAAAAGAAATATTATAGGAATCATCATAAAGTAAGAACTATCTTGTTGAATGTGATTTCTTATACTGTGTATGAAAAGATAACAAATAGAGACTCAATTAATTCTATATTTGATTCTTTAAGAATGACTCATGAAGACAACACTCAAGTTAAGGAGACCAAAACTTTGGCTTTGATTCAGAAATATAAATCCTTTAAAATGGAACAAGATGAAACAGTTTAGACTATGTTCTCAAGGTTTAAAACTTAAATTGAGGACTTAGGGTTATAAACAAAGGATACTCTACTTCATATCATGTGAAGAAGATTATCATAAGCTTTCCATCTAAATAGAGGCCTACGGTAACAGCTCTTAAGTTGGCTAAAGATATGAATAACACTTCTTTAGAATAAATGATGATTTCTTTGAAAAGTCATGAGATAGAGCTGGAACAAGATGAATATCAGAAGAGAGGAAAAGCTATTGCTCTTAAATCCATTAAAATATATTAGAAGACGAGAACTCTTCAAGCAGAAGAGATCGAGGATTCCAAAGAAGATTACGATGAAGATGAGTTGTCACTGTTGTCCAGAAGGGTTAATCAACAATGGAAGAGGAAGCAAGTAAATAAAATTATAATTTTCTGCTTACTTAAATATAAATTTCTTTACTTGTCATATTTAAGGAAGAATTTTCATCTTTAAGAGAAGAAAATTATATTCTTAAGACTGCTTACTTTGTTCTCAAAAGAAAGAATTCCAGTTTTGAGAAGGAAATTTTTTTAGATGCTTTTGTGACCACTGATGATGTCATTAAGAAATATGACAAATCTTTAGAGGAATTTCTTGCTAGAAGCCTAGGTAGAAGCATTATGGCTTCAATGATCTATGGCATAAGAAAAAATGATACAAAAGGCATTGGTTATGATTCTTATGAAAAACCTAATTCTGAAAAAGAAGATAAACCAAATACTCTTCATCCTTATTTTGTCTCTGCTGGTTCTAAGTCTAAGGTAAAAAAAAGGTAAAACTCTTTATGTTCCTAAGGCTAATCCTAAAGCAAAGTCTCGTTTTAAGAATGTAATTAAATATGTTTATCCTACTCCTCAGTTTAAGGTTGTGAACAACTCTGGGAAGACTGACAAAAAAAGACCCAAGAAGTTATGGGTACCTAAGAAGCGGATAATCTATGTTGCATATATCTTTAGCAGCGAAGTTAGGACACCAGTCATGGTACCTGGACTCTGACTGCTCGCGACACATGATAAGAAGAAGACATATGTTCCAAAGCATGTAACTTAAGCCTAGAGGCGTCGTAGGTTTTAGAGGTGATCAAAAAGGGAAATTCATAGGCTCCAGAATAATAGGTAATTGTTCTCTTGCCTCTATTACTAACATTTTGCTTGTTGATGAATTAATGCATAACTTATTGTCCATAAGTCATTTAAGTGACAACGGGTATGATATAACCTTTAATCAAAACTCATGTAAGGCTGTTAGTCAGAAGGATGACTCAATCATTTTCAATGGAGAAAGGAATAATAACATCTATAAGATTAGACTATCTGATCTTAATGAGCAAAACGTAAAATGCCTTATGTTTGTTAATGAACAACAATGAGTCCGGCATAGACGTTTGGGCCATGTTAGCATGAGAAGAATCTCTCAGCTAAATAAGCTTGATCTTATCAAAGGCCTTTCAAAACTTAAGTTCTCTTCAGAAGCTATTTGTGAAGAAAAGAATGTTGTTTCTACTTCTAGGCCATTGGAGCTTCTGCATATTGACTTGTTTGGACCAGTGAAAATTGCTTCTGTCAATGGTAAGAAGTATGAATTAGTCATTGTTGATGACTACAATCTTGAACATGATTAAGTTCCTTAAACACGGGGATGAATCACATTCTGTGTTTATTATCTTCTATCCTCAAGTGCAAAATGAAATGAATCTCAGGATTGCCAAAGTCAGAAGTGGTCATGGTGGCGAGTTTGAGAATAAAAACTTTGAAAAACTTTTTGATAAAAATGACATTTTTCATGATTTCTTCTGTCCTAAAACTCCACAGCAAAATAAAATTGTAAAGAGAAAAAATATAACTTTACAAGAAATTTTCAGAATCATGATCAACTAACATGACAAAACACTTCTAGACAGAAACATTTAACACAATATATTACATTCAAAACAAAGTCTCTATAAAACATATTCTGGCCGCCCAAAAGAATCCATTTATGACAAAATTTAATTAATTAATCTAAATTAGTTAAAATAAATTATCCCGTAACATGATTAAATATCATTAAGAAACAATTTTTTTCTATAGAAAAAAAATCCTTCGTCACTATCCAGTATAATTATTAAAGTATATACTTTATTATTTATTCAAACAAGTAATCATCCATTAGCGGAGAAATAGAGGAGTGAAGTATTAAAATTTTCCAAACGAAAACGACGTAATGAAATTACATTTGACTTAGATTGGATTAAGCATGCAACAATTTTCTCACCATCGCAATTTGCACACCACGATAAGACGTGTGATGAAAACGATATCTACGTGGAATCAATCCAAGGGTAGGCTTGTGGGCCCAAGCAACACAAGATTACAACACGTGGACTGTCAAGATTTCACTAATTATTCTCTCCCACCTTATAAATTGGGTCACGCAACATCATTAAAAGACACCAATAAGATAACAGCAACCAAGTAATATCAATTGTTCTTTGCAAAAAATCTTAGTATCTCAAAATATGTCTGGCTGTGGTTGTGGAAGCAGTTGCAACTGTGGTGATAGCTGCAAGTAAGGATCAATTACCTTAATTCTTTGTTGTTTCCTATATGATTTTTCATTACAATTATTTGTGTTTTTTTTAATCATATAGATGATTCTATGGAGATTTTTCTTAATTATTTGATTAGTTTTTGTAATGATATAGGTGATTCTATGGAGATTTTTCTTAATAGTTTGATTAGTTTTATCATATCGAATAATATATAACCGAAGCATAAGTTTATATAGAAAATTAATTTTAATATTACAAGTTGATTTTGTAAAGATAAATTAGTTTGAGTTTAAATTTTAAAATTATGAATCTCTATCATAATTTTATGCTAACTCGTTTTGTTTAGTTAAATTGGACGATTTTATGTGTTAACGAATAATTTTTAGGTTTTAAATAATGATTGCAATCACGTAAACGATCTTGAGATTTTGAGATTTTGATTAGTTTAGGTGTTGGATGTCGATTACAGTCGCGTAAAATTTTGCGATTTCAGTTGGATCTGGTGTTGTGACACTAATTATATCGTTGCAGTGTAAATTAACTATAATTTATTTTTTATCATAGAAACTTTGAATAATAGAATCAGTATCAACATCTTTTGACACCATTTTATTACGGATTTTTTACAGTAACTTTTTTTTGAAAACCTTTGATTTTGACAATTCATGTGTATAATTGATATGTTTTGCTTGGCAGATGCAACAAGAGGTCTAGTGGATTGAGCTACTCCGAAATGGAAACCAAAGAAACCAAAGAAACTGTGATTCTTGGCTTCGGTCCGGCGAAGATCCATTTTGATGGTGCTGAAATGAGTGTTGCTTCTAAGGAAGAAGGCTGCAAGTGTGGTGATAAGTGCACTTGTGATCCTTGTAACTGTTAATGAAGTGTGACATATAAGAGCTTGAAGCAGAGATATTGGAACCATTATGTGTAATTGTGTGTATGAGTACACGTTTAATATCTACAAGAAGCATTTGTGTTGGCTTTTTAAGAATAATATGATGTGGTCATGGATCTCTCCTCAGCAGATTGAAATGTTGTTTGATTTTGTTGAAAGGTTATGAGAATTGTGGTTGCTTTGTGTTTTGTTTGGTTGTCTTGTGTAAAGTGTAGCTAAAAGATTGAATCATAAATCTCTGCGTATGATAAATGGAATACAATATTGTGTGTTATTTGAATGAAAAGATTGTTGATCCAAAGTGGATTTTTTTTTGTGTGAATGAAGATCTAAAAGGTGAAAAGTATCTCAATTGGGTATAGAATGTTTTTTTAAAGAAGAAAATGTGAATTTCTCATTTCATAATCATTCTTTTATCACATGATTAGTAACAAGACTATGTAGATATATGCCATAGCATAATTAGTAACGAAGTTACAATGAAAGAAAACAACCTTATTTAACATGCACCAAACGTTAATGTCTATGTATAATCTTCTCCTAAACCCAAATCTAAACCAATCTTAACCACAAACCATCATAAATAACAATGTATCAAAGAGAAAACGCCGACGAGGAACAAGGTTGGAGGAGAGTAGTCAGGAGGAAGAGTAATCTCAAAAGATCGAATCATTGGGATAACATCAGAAAAAGGCAAGACGGCATCTTTCTTCTTTACTCCAATCCTTGCCAATTGTAAAGCCAAGAAAATGTATGAAGAGTTTAAGTAATGCAGAGAAACATATGAGATAGTAATTCCATCAAAGAGGGACATTCGATGTAGAAGATATGGCTTTGTGAAAATACAAGAATGCTGGCGACCAAACTAGACAATATTTTCATAGGAAACTATAAGATATTCGCCAACTATAAGATGTTTAGGTTGGAAAGGAGCCAGGCAACTCGTGTCTAGAGGAAGTAGAATATACGGGGAGGGTAATGGTGGAATACTCTTTCCATCTTTGGTTCAATAGTATTGATTAATGAGAGCCGGATAAAGTTGAGTTTGAGAGACAAGCTTAGATTCATGTGCATGAAGACTCTTCCGGATTTTTGATGTTAATCTGGTTAGAGGAGATTTAGTGAAAATGCATGCAGATCTCTGAATTTACTACTATACGCATGACCATGCCGGTTGTGCTATTTGTGGTACAGATATATAGGGTTGTGACAAGATAAAGACTGATTTGCAAGAGATGATGGATGAAGTCCTCATTCACATAATCAGGCCTAGGGCAGAGTATGAAGAGGAAGTAAACATGATTTCTGAATGTCTTGGAGAGTTCAGAATCTTTGATGTGGAATATATGAATGAGGATCTTGTACAAGTGCACGCTACTTTCTGCCACATGGTTGGTCAGGTGGAACATCAGTATGGATCTTGCCAAATTTGTTGTCGGGACTCCCGAGGATGTTCAATTGTTAGGGATGGTATTCAGTTGTTGTTAGACAATTGAACCATCAAGGTTACAGGTTGTTGTACCCCAAAATTTTCCCTCTCATTTATCAAGACTTCTCTCACAAGATGACTTTGACTCAAGACTGGATTAGGGTTTGGTCAGCTCAAGACATCTCATCTTGCACTGATAACTCAAAATTAGGGTTTGAGTTTGCACAAGTATTTTTGGACTACCATTGCTTCATATGACTTTCAAACATCATTATGGACCCCTAAGATCACTCATGACAAGTTTCATGCCTTGAACCATATTTTTTATCAGTCAATTGGACAGTAGACCTAAAAAATCAACTGTATTGGGGAAAAAGTCAACCATAGCCAATTTACAGTCAAACTTCATAATTTTTGAACCACATTAACATTTTAAACTTATATGTATCATTTGGTCAAGTTTGGATCACAACTCCTCAAGAAATTTGATCAAATCACAAAAAGGGCAAAATGGTCAAAATTAGGGTTTTGACTGAGGAAGGGCAATTTCTGATTTTTAACCTAGAAAATGACCAATTGAGTTCAAGCATAATTTCAAGGATTCAATGGCATCATCTTGACTTAATTACATGGCTCAAAACATCTCAAATTCATTGGATTGACAAATGAAATTTGCAGTCAACTGATCAAAAGTCAACTGTACACTGAAAAGTCAAACTTTGACTTTTTGATCAAAATCAAGTATCAAGGGTCATAATTAATCAAAACATGCCAAAATGTGAAACTTGTTCATCAAGAAATCCAAATTTGAAAATTAGGGTTTGAATATGAAAATTTTCCTAACTTAGAAATTTTCTAAGTATAGAAAATTTTCTTTTTTTTTTCCAACTTTAGGCCACTTTTTCACCATGATGCATAATGATTCAAGGAAAGTTTCCAACATGAAAGTTGTAGACCTCCATGAAATCTAAAACTTTTCTTCACACAATTTTCCCTAAAGATGCTTGGATCTCAAGATATAAATTTGTGAATACATGGTCATGAACTTATTAACTTAGTGAAATTTTGCCCTAATTTAGGCAGGTTTTGGACCCAACTTCATGACCATTTTTCACCTAGTTCCAAGAGATATCTCAAAATTAATTTCAAAGAGTAATTATAAAGCACATTGCAAGATTTCCAAAATGTCCAAGAACTCCTCGAGATCATTTTTGAGTAGGGAGAATCGAAGAGATGAAGTTGGAAATTTCTCACTTTTTGTCCAAGCCATTTCATGAAGAACAAATTTGCAATCAGTAGCTATGTTGGCTAATCCATGCTTTACAGGTCCCAAACTTGTTCCATACTCCTTAATTAAATGCTTACTCAGTTGACAAAGCTTCTATTCATTCCTTAGGATCATTATCCAACTTGCAATTCCATTTATGATAAAAAGGTTCCATTGCCATTTTGAAAAAGATCAACTTTTGAAAACTTTACAATCTTGAGCATTGGACATGTCCCCTTGGCACATACAAGTACCACAGACCAAAGGCAACTTGTAGAGAAGAAATATCAACCCTAAGAAAGCCAGTACAAGCATGAAAGGTTTTGTCTTATCACTTTACTTAAAATACAAGAAAAGTGGCAAAAAGGCTAGGGAAGGCACAACTGCTAGAGGGTTGACATCAAACCATTTCAATACTAATATACAAACATTATACAACACAAATCACGTTTAGCAAGGACCTGAAACACTCCCAACCAGCAAAACACCAAAAATATGTCCAAAACTGCAGATTTTGCATAAGCACATCCATCTTCCATTTGGCTCGTGCGTTTTGAGTTTTGATCATTCAAACATCTTACATACTTGACACCTAGTCAATCCAGGCCTTCATCCATGTTCTGTAATCACTCCTCCACCATCTGCCATTGTTGACTTTAGAGCTTGCAGTTTGACTTGGCCAAGGAGTTCCAGCTACTTTGAGAGCAAGGCAAGGGTTGGAATACATCCAGGGAAGTTCAAGGAAGCTCAAGCAAGCATCAGACCTCCATCAAACTCATCCCAGTTTCATCCACGATTCCAACTGAAGGAGGTAAAATCTCAAACTCTATCTCTTTATACAGGCAACCATAGGCCACGATTTGTGAATAAAAAATGTAGTCCGCATCATAACGAAGTTGTACATACCATTATCTTGCATTGATTTTACTTGTGCTGAGAGAATTTGGAACTTGAAATTTCTGGAAATATTAGGTCAAGATTTAGGGCTGTTAAAATTCTCTTTTTTCTTTGATTAATAGTTCACATAACTTATATGGTTGGAATCGTGTGCTCAAGTACTACAACTTTCATGTTATGAATTTTCATTTTTATGAAAGTATGAGAGAGTTGCAGGATGTCTGGCCAAAGCTTGAGGAAGAAGATGAAACATGGCAAGGACTTGGTTCAGGATATGTTATTTTCGTTTCACTTAATATAATGGAAGTATAGCCACCCCAGTGGCAAAGTAGCGCGCTGGTGAGACCCATGTCCTGGGTTCGAACCTGCGCGCTACTTTTGTATTTTTCACATTTTTTTCCTTTTCCATTTTCATATTTTTGCAGGTTGGGCTTGGTCTTTTGGGCCAGGATTTTTTGCTAGCACATTACCACCAGTTCTACTACATTACCCCCCTTTGCCAACTTTTTTATTTTTATTTTTATTTTGTTTATTTTCACATTTAATATTTTAAATATTTTCTCTAATGCATAAAAATCCTAAAAAAATATGAATTAATAATATTGCACTTTTATTTTATTTTTATTTTATTTCTCACATAAAAATATATTTTATTTTAATAGGATATCATTTATTTTCTTAATAAACTTGTAAATATAATTAAACATATTTAGTTCAATTTATTTTTTATTTCACACTTATAAATACTTATTTTTGCACATATAAAACTTTATATTTTATTACAATATTATTTATTATTTTTATACAAGAAAATATATAAAATAATACATATAAAAACTTTATTTTCTTTTAAATAATAATTAGGGTTTAAACCCCTTTTAAAAATTACTTCCTTTACCTTATATTTTTAGATTTAGATGAAAATCTCTTTTACATAAAAACAAGACACAAAAAATCTTTTCTTACATGTACATTGCATTGCATTTTAAATATTGTATTATATTCATTCTAATTCGTACAAATTCGATTTGGTTGTAATAATTTATTTAGGTTTATATTTTTGCAAATCCCCATTCAAATTTGTATTCCCCCCTCCCATAAATTGTTGTAATAGCTTAGAAATATTTACATTACACAATTTATCGCTTTATATGCCATGATTAGTAATTAGGGTTTGTATGACAAGAACAAAACAAAGCAAAATACAAGACAAAATCAAAGCATGAAAATGATACACTTGCACACAAACACCCTTAGGGTTTCCCCACTTGGTTGCCTAAAACAAAAATGACCATGTTACGCATGCGAAGAGTCTTGGCCAAAACAAAAATAAGATCATAGTCCCTTGATGACGCTATTCAAAAGTTGCCTTACAAAATGATCTTGGTC